TCCTCCTCCTATATTGCCACAGGTTCAAGTTGTCACAATTTTTTGGGAATGTCCCAATTTTTGCGGATGAAGCAATTATTTTTTGTGACGTTTGCAGACGTCCCAATTAAATTGGGACGGCAAGATGTCAGGGACTGCTGTTGGGCATCATGCCCATTCTTTCCGTGCCCTTCTCGGGCGTCCAGAGCCTGTGCCCGCCGCAGCAGTGCGCGACGGGCTGGAGCACTGCGAGAACGCCTCGAGCAGACGGGCGCGCCCCTTGGCATCAGCTTCGAGCACACGGGCACGCTCTTTGGCCTCAGCCTCCTGCTGGGCCTGGGCTAGATACACGACGCGCTCCAAGTCCGAAGGGCCTGCCCACTCAGCACGGACCAGCCCTTCATATACATGGTTGGCAGCCTGGCCGGCGGCAGGGGCACTCGACACCGCCTCCAACCACAGTTGGCGCATGCGTCCACTGGCCCGCAACTGGGGGCGGAAGAGAACGAAAGCCTCCTTCTCGTGCGGCGCACGCTTCGGAGCGGCAGTGCATGGCCCAGGCGCCATGGCCAGGGCGAGCACGAATAGCATCTTAGGCATCGATGGGGGCATCAAGATGCCGGGAAAGGCGAAACGTCAAAACACAACTACAGCTTGACAGCGAAGCGGCTGCAGCGAAGCGGGAAGTACAAGCCTCACGCAAACAAGACAAACGAACACAAGCGCCGACCCCCCGACACGAAGCAAGCACACCCACGCCAAGGCGACGCAAAACGACGAGGCAGGAGAAGGCGTGGACGACACAACACACACGCACCTCGGCACCGGCAACCTGCGCACCTCGAACGGACCAGAGGACACCCCTCGGAGAGACACGGCAACCCACCCCGCAACCCAGAACAAGGCAACACGCACGGGCACCCCAGGCACCTCCCGGGGCGCGTCCAGACCAGGACAACGAGGCGAGACCGGCAGCGGCGACGAAGGCGACCCAGGAGGCCCCCCAAGAGGGAAAACGAGGGCAGAGTAGAGGTAAGGGCACGTGATCCTCTGCGGAGCACCTGCCCCGACCTCGGTGAGCCTCAGAACGCGTGCCAGCGCCCACCGTGCGCACGCCCGCCGAGGGCCCTCGAGAGCTGCGCGGGCGGCGCGGGGAGGGCCGCAGCCGGCGGCGCTCCGTCGGCGGCGTCGGGCTAGGGGTAAACTCGCGTGGCTGGCTCGGGAGACCCCTGAGGCAGAAACATCGTCACCACAAGGGTGCACAGGCTTTACAACCACCGGCTGCCGCAGGCACGGCGCAGGCAACCGCAGGCGCGGCCACCCAAGACAGCACCGCGGGCAGCCGCCGCCTTCCGCCGAGGGGGAGGTGCAAGCGCCTTCGATCCTAGGAGGCGAGGCCCAGTCTGTGGAGCGCATCGCATGGGGCAGACACACGTCCTGGGGAACACCGACGAAAAACCCTCTTCGCCCGACCCGACACAACAGCGAGAGCAATCTCTCTCGCACACACATTTGCTGTCAGGGAGGCGCAAGCACGATGCACCCAGCCCGAAGGGCGGGGACACCGAAGCGGGACCGGGAGAGAGTCGAGTGCACGGGGGGCACAGGTGAGGGGCGAGCAGGGGAGAGGAGGGAAGAGGAGAGAGGGTGACCGAGCATAACGGTCTGGACGTTCTTCCGCCAACGGTGGGCACAACAAAGCAGCTTCCTTCCAATCGCCAGGAGGAAGAGAAGGAGGGGGAGGAGGAGGAGGAGGAGGAGGAGGAGGAGGAGGACGAGGAGGAGGACGAGGAGGAGGACGAGGAGAAGGACGACGACGACAGCGACGACGACGGGAGGACGAAGGGAGACAAAACATTATTCACAGGCAACTCTCAAGCCTCCGCAATCCCCCGGAGCAGCCAGAACTGCCCCGCCGCGCGGTCCAGCTCTGCGAGCAGGAGCACCAGCTCGCAGTAGCCCGGCTGGCCGGGCGCCAGCCGCAGCATGTACGCCAGCGCATCAGCAGACGCCGGCGGCGTGTCCAACCAGCCCAGTGCAGCGAGCAGCGGCTGCCTCAGCGCCAACAGCGTAGGGCAGAACAGGACGGCGTGTGCAACGCTCGGGCCAATGTTGGCGTCGCACAAGACGCACCTCTGCACCGAGGCCCGAGACCGGCGCCCACCCACATGCCCGGCGCGCACGTACCCAGCACGCACCCGTGCGACAGCACGGCGCCCCACCAGCACAGACCACGGCAGCGTCGCCGAAGTGGTTGCGTCCATGGCGGCGGAGGAACCAGAGAACGAAAGGGCATGAGGTGCAGGGTCCGTGTTGACCCACGTAGGCAGCAAGACATGCGGAGCCCTGACACCACGCCGGCCAATCGGGCACGCCGTACTCTGCGAGGATAGCACCACTGCGCGATGCCCACGTGCGGCCGCCAGCAGCAAGGCCCCGCATGAAGGCCCGACGGTAGAAGTCCTCCACCGGGAGAAGGTACAGGCGAGCCCGGCGCCGGCATAGGTCCAGCACGGCCCTGGCGTCACCACTAAGAGAGAGGCCCACCTCGAGGGCAGCCACACCAGCATTACGCCAGGGAGCCCCGCCAAGGAGCGCCTTGGCCCACCGCTCGTAGGCGCCAGCAAGGTTAGTGAGGGCGCCGGGCGCCACGCACCACAGCCACCGGCCTGGGGCCATGATGCCGTCGACCTTGGCCTCAAAGGCCACCGACGCCAGGTGGAGAGGCAGCTGTCCGCCGTGCACGAGGCCCACGAGCGAGAGGCACACGTTCCCGGCAACAGCAAGGCGCTCACGGCACATCGGTGTAAGGTCCAGGTCTGGCCGCCAGAGTAGACCGAGCCACTTGTGCTGTTCGGCGCGAGCCAACTGCAAGCCTGCAGGAGTACCCAGCCGAGGCAAGGGCAGGGGCGCGCTCGCAGCCGCCGCAGCCTGGGCCGCAGCAGAGCCTGCTACAAGAGTCACCGTCTTGCGGACGCCCACGTGTAGCTCGCATCTGTGCTCCAAGCACCGCAGGGCCACCAGCCGAAGCACCTCCTCGGCAGCGCCACGGCTTGAGGCCACGAACACCGGATCGTCGCAGTGGAAGAGCACCGGGATCCTGTCAGCGTCGCGCAAGTCCAGGGCACGGAGGGCCGATGCCTCGAGGTCCGGACACGCCGCCAGGCAGCAGGAGGACGGCAGCAGGTGCGGCGCGTCTAGGTTGGCAAGAAGCTCGGCCGTGAGGTACTCGCGCGGGGTACCATGGCCCAGCCAACGATGGCCGCGCCACGGGGCAGGGCACCAAGTGGACGTGGCCACGCCGCATTTGGCAGCATGCAGCGCCCGCATGAGACTGTCCGGCACAAAGTTGTACGCGAGAGGACCAACAACACCACCTTCCGGGACGCCTTCGAACACGCCCACCGTGCTGAGTCCACTGAGCGGGATAACTACCCGGTCCCATTCCAGAATGGACCCCGACAGAGCAAGCGAACCACCACGAACACCGCCATGATCGCGAAGGAGGCCCACCAGCTGAGCACGCCATGTACGAGGAAAAGCATGGACAAAGTCGCCGTGCACCATCCAAGTGGGACTGCAGGCGTCCAGGCGGGCAGCCACAAGTTCATGAAGCACTAGGTGTGCGTCGCCAGCGTCACGGATGTAGCCGCTCTGGCCGTCCAGGAGCCTATGCCGCAGAGGGGCCTGAAGGCGGGGAGACAGCAAGCCTTCCTGCAGAAGCCCATGTTGGCACATGACGCACAGCAGCCTGTCGCTTGACGAGGCCGCCCACGGACCACGCTTGTACCTGGGGCCCAGAACCCGATAGCGCCAAAGACGGGGACGGAGGGCCAGGACACCAGGGCCAACCAGCAGATGCAACTTCCACGTGGCATCGTCCCACGCAGGGAGGCGCAAGCGGAACGCCGCGCGCGGCAGCAGATCAGGCGTGGTGGCGGAATACTCGTCCCAAGCATCCACGACCCGGAACACCTCCCACTGCAGGACTGGCGAGTCGGCGGCGTAACGTCCGATAGCCGCTTGGGCGGAGCGCAACACACTGGAAAGATGGGCATCGACTTGCGCGACGACAGCCTCTGGGCAGGGCTGAGTGGGAACGCTTTGCTGGATAAGCTGGTGGCGCCAAGCTGCATGCGACTCTTCCTGGGGCAAGGCAACAGAACCATTGACAAGGCGTGAGGGAGGATGTGGAAGACGCCTACGAAGAAGACGAAAACAGTAAGATAAGCCCCGACGAAGGTCAACACCCCCACCTGTGGAAGGCCCGGCGGCTTGACGAACAGAAGCTGCAGGATGACGTCGGGCATGCAGCGAACCAAGCGGCAGCACGCAGGTGCCCCTGGCCAGACCTTCAATGATTGCCAAGAGGAGCGCAAAACAATCCCCCAGCCATTGCGCACACGCCCGCGTCGGGCGCACAGACTGGCCCGACAGCCACGTAGACGCGAAGTGGTGCGCCAGAACTCCCAGTCTCTCCAAAGGGCCTGAGATGTCGGAGAGCCCAGCACGCCACGCATCGCTATTTAGCCATTCCCGCGGCATCGAAAGCGCAGCGGCGCCACCAGGACCAAGTGCAAGAATACCCAAATCAGCTTCGAGTAAGAAATGGTCTCCCAAACCAAACTCCAAGCAGCCTGGCCAGCGACGCGGGTGGCAATGGAGGCCGTTGTGAATAGATGTGGAAAGCAACAGCTCAGGCGACGCCAGCACCAGATCGATCGCCCGAGACTGTCCGGGACCGTGGTGTGTGTCGCCGCAACGAATGCTGATTGTACTGCCACGGAGCGGTAAGGTCACGTCCTGGACGGATGACCCCAGGAGACTGGGACTGCGGAGTGCCAATCCGGACCGAGTGACGAAGCCACTCCACAGCCTATCCCGGAGCGGGAGCAGGTCTCTACCACCGCCAAGAGCGGCCGGTTGAACGTTGGCGTCACCCAGGCACAGGAGGTGCGCCGACGGGAACTGCCCCCGCAGAGTGTGCACGTCAGCCTCCAAGCCGGCCAGTTCGGAGGACCATGCTTGATCACAACTCGCTGGAAGGTAGAAGAAACACACTAAGAGAAGATTCGCGGACGCGGTACGCATGACCAGCCATAGCCGGTGGTCAGAACCCACCCCATCGAGGGCATCGAAATGCTCCTGCAGGTCCAACGCCCAGACCACCGCGATGCTACTGTACGACGGCCCCCCCCGGCGCCAGCGCTCCCAGGCCAGACGAAGGGGGCAGCGAAAAGTCTGGAGGTAGCCGCGCCCCAGGAAGGCCCAGCATGTTCAGCCCGAGCTGCGCCATGGCATGCTGGACGGAAGTGGGATGATTGAGTAGACGCCGCCATAAGACCCGGCGGCCTCGACGATCAAGGCAACCGGTAGGGCCGGGATTTCCCATGCCAATTCGCAACTGGCGCCGCGCAGGCGGTGAGGCCGCAGCGGCGTCAGGAGGCAGCGGAAGCCTGGACAGCGCCGCACTGGCCAGTTGCAGACCGGAGCATTGAGCATCCCAGAGCTCGTCCGCACTGCCAGGAGGGCAGGGGGGGGGGGCGCCACACCACCCGGACGGGCGCGCTTGAGCCGTTCACCTTCACGCAACAGGCGGCACCACAGATCGCGAACCAGTGTCAGGGCCGCCGGAGGCACGAGGCAAGGACGAGTGGGCTGACGCTGGAAGTCGTGCGCCACGCCCCATTGGTCCAGGAGAGCATGGAGGGCCATGGCGCCGCACGGGCAGGCAACCGAGCCAATGATTGGAGCCGAAATGGAGCGCCGTGGAGCCTGCGGGGCAGGCCGCAAGGGGGGCTGGCAGTCGAGCCCAAGCTACGGTCGACATCGCGTAGAAGTGCCCGGCACGCAGCGGGTCCATGGTCGCAAGTGCGCCCCCCTCGCCTCTTGCGGGGGCCAACCTGCAAGTGCAGGCGCCGCCAAGTGGCGGGAAAGCATCCGAGGCACGCAGAGACGCAAGAGGAAGAGGGGCACGACGGTACAACATCGGGGGTCACATAATCTCGGCCATTCGGCCTGGACACGACAGCTAACACCACACACCGAAGCCAGAAAAAGACGCAGCGTTCTGACAGAATGGGAGCCGAATCCGAACGGTGGCACGAGGGGGGACAACAGCCGGCGCCCCGCAACAGCCGGCACCACCGAAAGGGGGAGGCAGAAAAACTACGGGGGGCACTTTTTCTCGGCCACACGGCCTGGACACGAAGGCCAGCACCGCACACCGAAGACAGCAGGCCAGTGGTCGAAAAGGTCGCAGCGCTCTGACAGAATTGGGAGCCGAATCCGAACGGTGGCACGAGGGGGGCCCCAGAAGCAGCCGGCGCCCCGCAACAGCCGGCACCTCCGAAGGGGGAGGCCAGCCCGTCGGATAGGAGAGGGAGCGCACCAACAGACGCACAAGACGGGAGCACAGGGAGACAGGGAGGGCGAGAGCGTCGAAAAGGGAGGGCAGCGACGAGGAGAAAGGAGGAGAGGGACAGGGGGGGGACAACGAAGCAAGAGGGAGGAAGGGAAGAGGAGAAACAAGGCGCAGTGCGAGGAAGGACAGAACGCGATGTGCTGCATTTCGCGCCAAGTGGCGGGCGCCAGTGCGCAGGCAACGGGGCACGCCAAGTGGCGGGCGCAATTGCGCAGGCATGTTCATGCCTCACGCCGCCAGGAGAGCGCCACCACCCAGGCGATCACATCAGCGACCCTAGGGCCCAAAGACCCGAGGAAGCCGGGCGGAGGGGGACGAGGCAGATGAGAGACGAGCGGGATGGGACTCGGCGAAAGCCTGCCTGAGGCGCCCCGCAGGGGAGGACGAGCCGCGTCCAGCACGTAGCGGCGAGGGCAGGAGGGCAGCAGGGGCACGGGAGGGGGCAGGGGAGGGGGCAGGGGAGAGGGGGCAGGCGAGGGGGCAGAGGAGAGACGAGCGGGACGGGACTCGGCGAAAGCCTGCCTGAGGCGCCCCAGAGGAGAGGCCGAGCCGCGCCCAACACGTAGCGACGAGGGCAGGAGAGCAGCAGGGGGCAAGGGAGGGGACAGGGGAGAGAGCCGAGAGACGAGCGGGACGGGACTCGGCGAAAGCCTGCCTGAGGCGCCCCAGAGGAGAGGCCGAGCCGCGCCCAGCACGTCGCGACGAGGGCAGGAGAGCAGCAGGGGGGCAAGGGAGGGGACAGGGGAGAGAGCCGAAAAGAGACGAAGGGAGGGGACAGAGGCGGGGAGAGGGGGCAGAGGAGAGGAGCAAGGGGAAGGAGGGGAAGGGAAGGGGAAGGGGGGGGGGAGCCAGGCGGAGAGCCACACCCGCCGGCTCCACAGAGCCCCTCCGGCCCCATAGGCCCCGCCGGCCCCACAGGAGGGGGCCCAAGCACCACCCACGCCGCCGCAACCGCATGGCGGCATCCGGCAGGATACAGCGCGACGCCCGGCCTGCTGCGGGATGCCCAGCACGCTCGCGAGGCCGCCGTCCACCAGCTCGTAGGCGGAGGCCGCCAAGGAGCGCAGGCTCCGCATGGGGCGGCGGGAGCGCCGCTCCGGGAGAGCCCCGCCCCTTGAGCTCCTCCTGCTCCTCCTCCTTGAGCCAAAATGGCTACGGGAGCAGGAGGACGTGTATGGGGAAATCTTCTCCTCCTCCTCCTCCTCTCCTCCTCCTCCCCTCCTCCTCCTCCTCCTCCTCCTCCTCCTCCTCCTCCTCCTCCTCCTCCTCCTCCTCCTCCTCCTCCCCCTCCTCCTCCTCCTCCTCCTCCTTCTCCCATGCGAAGTGCATCCACGGGGTCGCCCGCGGGGGCGCGACGACGTTTCCGCCTCGCGCGCCGCAGCCTGGACTGCAGGCGTGCCCTTCCAGAGCTGGCGGCGCGAGGGCGTTGAGCGAAGCGTGCGTCGCGCATCGCAGGGCGCATTTCGCGCAAAGTCAGTTACCAGCCTCGAACGTGTCCCTATCCCTAAGATTGACACGCCCAAAGGCGATGACTCTCTTAGGGATCCGCCCTCAAAAAAACAAGGAAATCCCCAAGATTGGCAGCGTGATGAGGAGGTGCCCAGCATAGGGATAGGGATATGCTCCAGGCTGGTAAGTTAGGTGGCCCAGAGCCCTCGCCCCCAAGGGCTGTGCCGAGGCGCGCGTCTCTCCCCATCGCCTGGCAGGCGTCGCCCTCGGCGCGGGCGATCATCGAGCTGGCGATGCTCAAGCTGCTGAACGCCACCCCGGACTTGCTGAAGCGCGAGGCCCCCCTCCTCCTCCTCCTCCTCCTCCTCCTCCCTCCTCCTCCTCCTCATCCTCATCCTCCTCCTCCTCTCCTCCTCCTCCTCCTCCTCCTCCTCCTCCTCCTCCTCCTCCTCTCTCCTCCTCCTCCTCCTCCTCCTCCTCCTCCTCCTCCCTCTCCTCCCTCCTCCTCCTCTCTCCTCCTCCTCCTCCTCCTCCTCCTCCTCCTCCTCCTCCTCCTCCTCTTTTTCAGTCTCCTCCTCCTCCCCCTCCCCCCCGCCGCCGCCTCCCAGGGCACAATGGGAATCGGGTGTACGTGGGGAGGTCCTCCTTCCCATCCTCCCCTCCTCCGTCCCATCCTCCCCTCCTTCCCGGCGTCCTCACGCTCCCCTCGCCCGCCCCCCTTCTCCTCTCGCCCGCCCGGCTCTTCCCCGCCCTCCAGGCGGGATCCTGCTCGGTGGTCCGGGGCCAGACCCTGGAGCCGCGAGCGGGCTGACTCGCCTGCCTGCCCGTTCTCAGTTTCGTCGGTCTGGGCGCCGGACGCGGCGAATCCCAGCAGTGCCGTACCCCCGACAGTGGGAGGAGGAGGAGGAGGAGGAGGAGGAGGAGGAGGAGGAGGAGGAGGAGGAGGGGAGGAGGAGGAGGAGGAGGAGGAGGAGGGAGGAGGGGAGGGAGGAGGAGGAGGAGAGGAGGAGGAGGAGGAGAGGAGGAGGAGGAGGAGGAGGAGGAGGAGGAGGAGGAGGAGGAGGAGGAGGAGGAGGAGGAGGAGGGAGGAGCGTACGAGGGGGAGGAGGAGGGAGGAGCAGGAGCAAGGATGGGTGGGGAGGACAGGAGCAGGAGCAGGAGCAGGAGGATGGGTGGGGAAAACGAGGACGAGGAAGGGGGGAAAGATGAAAGGGGGGCCGTGGAGGGGAAAGCAGGAAGCAGGCCGCGCGGGATGCGGCGAGCGCGCCGTGGGGGCCGGCGCCCCTTGCGGCCGAGGGCCCGCTCGCCCAGGCGCCCGCGGCGGCCAGCCGGGTGCGCGGACCTCAGGTCAAGGCTGGGCTTTTAGGAGGTTCCAACCCACTTCCTCCTCCTCCTCCTCCTCCTCCCCCTCCTCCTCCCCCTCCTCCTCCTCCCTCCTCCTCCCCCTCCTCCTCCCCCTCCTCCTCCTCCGCCTCCTCCTCCTCCTCGTCTTTCCCCTCCTCCTCCAACCCACTTTAGCCCCGATTATCGGAAAGGATTGCGAGCACCAGAGAAGTGCAGAAAAAATCGAGGGTTTTTCACGCGTCGGGCCCTGGGAGACACTCGTCCGACACTGTTTCGACACTCGTTCGACACTTCTCTGGGTGCTCGAAATGATTTCTGGGATGCGGTCCATTAAATACGATGGGAGCAACATGAGGCTGGACCTGAATTCGGAGGTTGATGTACCTCCCACCCTGACACGTCGACTCAGGAATTGACCGTTTTCGGTTCGCGAGAGGGCGCCGCTGCCGTCATTGTTTGCGGGTCCAGGTCCGTCGGTGACGGTCCCAGGCCGTTTTCACTAAGGGGAGGTTTACTAAAGGGAGGTTTGTCCATCGCCGACAAACGGTGTGTTTGCGATTTCGTGGGCCGTTCTCGTCTCGACTTCGTGTTGCGGTAAAGGCGGATTGAAGACAAGACGGGGGACAACGAACACAACACGAAAGCGAACAACACCGATTAGCCTCAGTCCTGCCCTTAGATCTGGCCAACCTGCAGTCAGTTTCCGCCACCCGGCGGAAGCGGTCGCAAGCGGCGCCCCCACCACCACTCCGCGCCAGCGGAACCGGCGTCCGCGGGCGGGTGGGGTTGAGCGCGCAGGGTGTTGAGGAGGCTTCAAGGCGTTAGCTATGATGTGCAGGCGCGTCGGAGCAAACGGCGCGTTGGAGCAAGCGCCGCATCCTCCTCCTCCCCCTCGTCCTCCTCCTCTTCCTCCTCCTCCTCCTTCCTCCTCCTCCTCCTCCTCCTCCTCCTCCTCCTCCTTTCAGGGGGTTGTGTGGATCGTGCGAGGGGGAGGGGCCATCAGGGAGGGCGGTGGGGAGGGGCAGCTGGAGAGAGGTGCTTTTTCCCTGCTCCAGTAGGAGGGGGATGTCGCAGGCCTAGAGGTTGCCACCAACACCAACATCGGCGGTGTGCCTCCACCGAGGGAAGACGATCCCGATCTCGGTGATGGTGGTAATATTCTGGCTTCCAAGGCGACCGAAATATTACCACCAACATCGAAATCTAGGATCATCTCCCCCCTGTGGAGGCAACCCCCTCTGTTGGTGTTGGTGTCAATTTCCAGGCCTCCAAGGATGAGTGGCGTGTGAGCTCCTTGCCTCGGGCCGAGGCCCTGCGTCGCGCGCAGGTTCTGCCCTTCATAGAGGACCTGCAGGACTCCAAGGACGTGGAGTTGCAGCAGCGGTCGTGCGAGATGCTGCGGCTGGTGCGGAACGAGGCGTGGCCACCCATTTTGCGGCAATAGGTTGAGCCGCGACCAGCTCCAAGTAGCGGTGCCGTTGAGTTCAGGTATTGGTTTCCCCGAGCCTTGCATGCACTTATATAGGGGTTCTGACTTCCCTCACGGAGTAATAGTATGATGGGTCCGCGGAGGCCTCGCCTGGTGGGCGCGCGCGTGGGTGCCTTTTTGGGCGCCCCCGTGCCCTGGTCTGGCCCGCCGAGGGTGTCGCCTGGTAGGCGCAGGTGGTCCGCTGTAGACTGCACCACACAGCTGTCACCACATACAGTCGGGGCGTTGACCTAAGGAACGATAAAGAAGGAACGAACCCCCTTTTTTATCCCAAGGAATAGCACATAAGGAACGATACTTAACAAATAATGCATAAGGAACTGTAAATAATGCATGCAAGCCTGAGGAACGACCGAACGCCTTTTGAAAAGTAAGTGTTCCTTACACAAGCCGCTCACTGTAGGTCGCACCACACATGGGGCGCTCCGACAAGGGCCTCGCCTTCGAGGGCATAGGAGCTGTCATCTCTTCCGCTGCGGAAGGCGGCGGGTGGCCGGCGGAAGTACAACGAGGGGGAAAGAGGAGGAGGCGGAGGACGAGGACGAGGACGAGGACGAGGACGAGGAGAACGAGGAGGAGGAGGAGGAGGAGGAGGAGGAGGAGGAGGAGGAGGAGGAGGACCCCTTCCCCCATCCAACTTATGATGGTGGTGGTGGAAAACAAGCCCATCATATCCGTTGGGGGCGCCGCACGACCAGGCGGGGTCCATGTCGAGCCTCCGGTCTGGGCGGGGACGAAGGGCCCAGATCCTCGGATACCGAGTGTTTGTTCGGTTGCGATCGGTGGCGACCGATCGGCACCCCAAGTCGGCCGCGGCCGATCGCGGCCGAGCCCAGAATCGGTCGTGACCGGTCGCCACTGATCGCGACCGATTTTGAAGCAAATCGATCGCGACCGATAGTGCACTTTGACACAAAATGGGTAGCGACCGTTCTCGTCTGTCGCGACTGAAAAGTTCCAGTATCCAATGATCAGGAGGAGGGGACACATAAGAAGGCAGTGAGGGCTGCCCCGTGTGGGCCCTGAGAGGGGTTCTGTAGGGCCCCAGAACGGGGCTCTCAGAGTCCGAAGAGGGCGCCTTTCTCCCCCCCATTACTTATCGCCCCCCCCATATTTTCCCAACGCCCAGCATTGGGCGCCGCAGTGCTTCTTGAAACGGCGAGGGCTGCTCTGCACATCGGCGATGGCACAGCAGAGAGGAAGCCAGAGAGGCGACGATAGTAAAGATTACCAGCCTGGAACAGATCCCTATCCCTATGCTGGGCATCTCCTCATCACGATGCCAATCTTAGGGTCTCCCTTATTTTTTGAGGGTGCATCCCTAAGACTGTCATCGCCTCTTGGCGTGTCAATCTTAGGGATAGGAATAAGTTCGAGGCTGGTAAACAGAAGAAAGGAGCCACGAAACAAAAGAACAAGCATCGCCACCCCCCTTTTACTCGAACCCCCGGTTCGGTGCCCGATCCTGGCTGGCCCGCGCCCTCCCCGGGCCGAGACGGCAGCCTACACAGCGCGCCTCCTCTCTGCAGCCTCGGCCGGCTGCGGCCGGCGCGCAGGACCAGGCCCGCGGGCTGGGCGAGGGGCCCCCCCTCCGTCGGGGGAAACCGCGCGACCAGGCGGGGCCCAGCTCTCAGAACCGGAAAAACACACAAACACAAAGGGTTTTATTGGTTTTACGCCGGAAGGGGGCGTCGTTGAGAGGGTACCTGGCACGGATGCGGGGATCAAGGTGGCGTCGGTGCTTGGAGCTGGCGGTTTGCGTGGCAAGGGCGTTTAGCTGGCCGCATTTGTTTGGAACGCGTGACGGGCGGAACGGCCGCTCGCCAGCAACTGGCCGCATTTGTTTGGCCGCTCGCCGCTCACCGCATCGAGCGGCCCGAGCTGGTCGGGCCGCTCGATGCGGTTCGATATCGCTGATGGCCGGCCCGATGTATCGAGGATCGAACGGCCCCTAGCCCTCAGAGCACGTTGAAGAAGTGGCCTCGCTGAGGTCCCCGTCTTCGCATTGAATCGAGCTGTGCGGTTTGGCCTCATGCATCTGCAGAAAAGACTCCTGGGGCCCTGATGTTCTCGGCCCTCCTGACTCAGGCCCCCTCCCACAGGGTTAGGGGGTACTTGAATTGCTTATCCCAGGCGTTCCGAGAAGACTGGGAGCGAGGTAAGGGGGGGGGGGGGGCATTCGAGGGGGGCAGGAAGGTGCCTTCCCCGTCCGCCCTGCCAGCCCCTTTCGGTGCCCTTCGGGGTCCCCTCCTAGGGGCCCTACAGGGTCTCTTTTCGGCAGCCTCGCTCCCCCCCCACACACTTGATCGCTCCCCAGTTATCGCCGGGTGCTCGGAGGAAAAGATTACTCTGGATTCCATAATAAAGTAGGGGGGGGTAGATTTGGCGGGGGGGTCTGATTTGAGCTGTCTTGAAGGGTTAGGGGGGGTCTTGGCAAAGGGCCGCCCTTTCATGGATGGTCTGGGAGGGTCTAAAACTTCTCGTCTGGGAGGGTTGAGACCCCTTCCCTTTTATTACGAAATCTGGAGTACCGAAACTCGGAGGACAAACCATGACAGAATCACGAAAACTCGGAGCTCCGCGCAGATCCCTCGGATGGGCGCTGGAGCCCCCCTGGCGGCGCCTCTGGCGCCCCTGGCGCCAGCTCCGCTTCGAGAAATCCGCGCGGACCTCCGAGTTTTGCTTGTGGCATTGTCTGCTCCCCTAGGTACTGCTACCGTTGCCTCGTTGTCGCTTTTTTGGGGCCTCCTGGGGGGGGCCCTCGTCGCCACCGCTGGATTCGCCTCGAAGTCTTGGTTGGGACTGGACCCCAGGAGAGGTTCGGGGAGTAGTGGTATCGGTGCCTCTTTGGTTTCCTCAAATCTGGTTCTCGGGAAGGCCCCTCGTCGCAGACACTGGATTCGCCCCAAAATGCTGGTCAGGGCGCACCTCGGGAGAGGTCGGGGGAGTAGCGGTGTCGGTGCCTCTTGATTTGCCCGGATCTAGTTCTCAGGGGCAACGATTGAGGGGAGACGTCGGGCGGGTCCGGAGCGTTCCAGAGCGTTCCTGAACGGTCTCGGAGCGTTCCGGAACGCATCGACCCCTCGCCCTGGCCTCGCCTCAGAATGGGGGGATCTGCTCAGGGGGGAACGCATCGACCCCGAATCTCCGAATCGCCCATTCATCGCCGATAGGGGGGTGATAGCCTACCCCGCCCAGGAACGCAAAGTTTCGCTGCCAGGCGCCGATCATCGATCTCTCGTCAATCTATCGCGATTCTATGTCGATGTGTCATCCGTGAGGCCAGTCCACCCCTAACATGGCCCCTCATATTTGAATTCGACACTCCGACGATGCGAGGCAGACCGATGTTCGCACGGCGTTGTTGTGCATCTCGGCGCAGCCGGTTCGCTTCGACTTCGACCCCGTGCCAGTGCAGCCCGATCCGACGAACAGGCCGAGTCGAACCAGTTTCCCGATTCGATGCCGACTGGTGCTGTCAGGACATGCTCGAGGAGGTGATGCAGCCCATGCCGCAGTACGCGGAGGCGGTGCAGCAGAACAACCCGCTGATAGCTCGGAGGGGGCCCGGGCGCCGGGCTGGAGGAGCTCCGGGTTGCGCTCGACAACATGTCCGCGTCCCCTCGTTGCGCGATCCGAGTGGGGGATCGACTGCATGATCGATTAGCCCCAAAAATCAGTTCCCTTGGCGAATCTACGAAACGTGCCTACAATGTTCCGTAGATCTACGGGGTTCGATGTATGTTTTGCATGGGTTCGACGAGAAAGTCAATGCTGGGCTCAATCCATTCTGCAGCCCATCCCCTGCTCGAGCGCTTGTCGACCAGACGTGAGAGGCACCTTCCGTCGGAGCGACCTGCGGTGCGGGCCCAGTGGGGGTCCCCGATCGCCGAACGCGATGGGATCGTGGCGCCCGCGGGTTCCAAACGAAGCGGCGCAGCAAAGGTCACGTCCTGAGCGGGGCCACTCTTGCGTGGAGTCGACGTGGACGAGCAGGACCCCAGGCCTCCGACGAGATTCCCCTATATAGCGCTTTGCCGGGAGGATCTGAGAGAGCACGTTGGGTTTCCCTGGCGGCAGCGGTTGTTACCAGGAGGTGCCGGGGCGGGTAACTCAGAGCCCCGAATCATCAGGGGTAACTCGGGCGTCCAGAGCCCCGAATCATCAGGGGTAATTCGGGTCAGGGCTAACTCGGGTTCCTTTTTTCGGGAATCCAAACCCGAGTTACCCCGGACCCGAGTTATCCCGGATAACTCGGGCGCCCAAGTAACAGCCGCTATCGCGAAGAATGAATACAGAAGGTTGAGGACTTAGTGGGCCCTGGAAACGACAGGGCCGTTTCTTACCCCGGTTCTGTTTTGCCGTTTTTGTTCCCGGTCCCGACGCCGTTTTGACACCAGTTCCGTCGCCGTTTTTTGACCGGTTCCGGCTCCGGTTCCAATCTATGAGCCGTTTTTTTTGCCGTTTCCGGTCGCCGTTTTTTTGCCGTTTTCATTTTCAAGGGACATTTTTTCGGAAACGGTGAAAAAACGGCCCTGCCGTTTCCGGGCCCCACAAAGGTCCCATTGCAAAGGAGGCGTGGGTTGCGAGACCGCCCTGTCTGGCAGCCGCTTCGCCCGAGACGGCCTCGCAGTTTCCTTGAGGGATCGTGCTCTCTCGCTTCCGGGCGGGCCGCACTTTTGCATTTGGATTTCAACGATGTCATCGCTCGGACGTGTGCATTTTTCCTTCGGCGAGGACCATCGAGGAGCGTCCTTGATCATTTGGCGAAACAACCACGCACGAGACCGACAAAAATACAGGGAATGGACGTCCGAGCGATGGCGAGTCCACGATGTCATCCTTATGAGATTACTGTGCGCATGGCCGTGCTCTGGCCCTTGTCCCGACTGCGTCCTCCTTTCATTCGCCAACCTCCTGCTCTTCGACCCGCCTCTCCACCTTGGCTACGAGTAGGCTTCATTTTCTGGGTACATGTTTTTGCTGCCAATCTGAGCGGTGTGCCTCGATTTCGACGTCTTGGCCCCGTCATTGGGCATTGGGACACTCAAGTATGGTTCTGGGGCGGAGCGCCACGTGGGGAAGGGGTCCCGACCTGTGAGGCTGCGGATTACGAGACCAAACCAAAAACACCGTCGGGCGTCTCCGTAGAATGGGAGCCTTGGATGTCTTCGCGCATTCGTCCTTCGAGTGCACGTGCTTGCGCTAGCCTGTGATGATCGAGGAGGGAACGCCAATTTAGGGTCGCTCAGCGTCGATGTACCGTCGGTTAGCGTCGATGCGTGTCGGCTCGCGTCGGTCAGCGTCGATGTTCGCAAGAGCTAGCAAGGAAGCAAGCACGGGAGGCTCCCACGAGCTGTCGCCGAAAGGTGACTGTGGCAGAGGGGCTGGGGCGAGGATGAGGCTCGCAGGCAGGGGGTGGCAATGGCCTGCGTGCAGAGAAGAGAGAGGCCGAGGCAGCGCTGGGGAAGCGCAGCGTACGAAATGGCCCAATCTCGGCAGGCTGCACTATCTTCATCCTCATCCCCCTCCTCCTCCTCCTCCTCCTCCTCCTCCTCCTCCTCCTCCTCCTCCTCCTCCTCCTCCTCCCCCTCTTCCTCCTCCTCCTCCTGGCTCGTAGTGGCTTCGCGATCGGCAAACTGAAGCGCGGACGCATGTGGCGTACGCGTGCCCGGTCTCCTGGCACAAGGCGCCTGTTTGGCGTGTTTTTTGCCCGCGCGTCCACACGGAGGCACGGCTTTTAGTGGTGGTGGAGCCCCCGACCTTCGACGAAACATGACGCCGTTCAGAAATGGAGGAGGACCTCCGCCTCCTCCTCCTCCTCCTCCTCCTCCTCCTCCTCCTCCTCCTCCTCCTCCTCCTCCTCCTGCTCGTTCCATACACCGTCTGTTTGGGAAAGCTCTTGGAAAGCTCCTCCTCCTCCTCGAGGTTTGCAGGCGACTTGTCTCCCCCAGCCCCCGACCTTTCGACGACACACCCCGAGGGGGGTGGCCACTCGGACGCACCCCAAATCGAGGCTGGGCGCATCCCCCCCCCCCCTGGATATATCCCAGGGTTGGGCTGCAGTTGTCTGGTCCGCTCGAAGGCCTTCCAAAGCCTGGCATAGGGGTCGCCGTGCCCCCATGCTAGAGGGGCCTTGCAAACAAGGCGTACAACAAGGTGTGTGTGTGTGGATGTGCACATGTGTTGAAGAATTTCTCTCAGACATACAATATATTTATAGTTACATCTATACATCTACAACTTTATACATATATATATATGTAAATGTATATATATGTATATATATATACATATATATACATATATACACATATATGTATATATATATATATGTACATATATGTATATATATATGTACATATAGCCCTGAGGCCGGTGGACTGTCGCCCTGCGACCAGGGCCTCGGGGCAGGGCCTCCTGCCGGGCGCCACCCCCCTGCCTGAGGCGCCTGCTGCCAGGGACCGCCCGCCGACACGCCCAGCCCCGGTGGCCGCGCACCTCGAAGTCCTCGGGGCTCGAGGGGGAGGAGGAGGAGGAGGAGGAGGAGGAGGAGGAGGAGGAGGAGGAGGAGGAGGAGGAGGAGGAGGAGGCGGAGGTGCTCCTCGATTTCTGAGCGTCTTCACGTTTCGTCGAAAGGACGGGGGCTCCACCACCACTAAGCTGTGGATGCGTGTGGACGGGCGGGCAAAACACGCCAGACGCGAGCCTCTGCCAGGGTTCAGTTCGAACGGGGGTCAGTCAGAGCGCCTGATCTTGCAGGATCCTGCAGAGCCAGGGATGCACCGATCCGGCCCTGGGTGCAGGATCCTGCAGGCTCTTGCAGGATCCTGCAATACCTGACTGACCTGGATCTGGCTTGACCCAGGTCAGTAGATGCCCGACGGTGGCCCCGCATCCAGGGCCGGTCTGGGGCCGTGTCGGGCTCCTGTGAGGCTGCCTTGGGGCCCCCCCTGGAGGCCATGCGAGCCATCTTGGGGCCATCTGGGGGCCATGTGGAGGCTATGTTGGGCCGTCTTGGGGCCCCTTTTTGGGCAGTCTGGGGGCCCCTTTTGGGTCCGTCGCGGAGCCCGTCTGGGGCCGTCCGGGGCCATCTCCCGCCGTCGTGGTCTCCCCCTTGGCAGTTCCCCACGCGGCTGCCTGCCCCGCCCTCGACGAGGGGGGGGGGGCGGCGGGGGCGGCGGGGACCCGCCCCTGCGAGGCTGCGGAAGGCGTGGGGCAGGCCATGGGGGGGCCGAGAGCTGCCAGGCAGGGTGCTGAGGTCGCGGGCGCGGAGGCGGAGGGCCAAGATTCCGGAGCTGCTCCTCCTCCTCCTCCTCCTCCTCCTCCTCCTCCTCCTCCTCCTCCTCCCTCCTCCTCCTCCTCCTCCTCCTCCTCCTCCCCCCCCTCCTCCTCCTCGCCCTCCAGGGGAAACGCCAGGAGGCCGAGCCCGCTGAGACCCATGCGTCCCGTTCTCGAAGCAGAGGGAACGCCACAAGCATAAACCATTGGCGCTCCGCGCGGATTTCGTGGCTCCGCGCTGGGCCCGCCTTGGGCGGCGCCTCCGGCGCCGCCCATGGCGCGCCCAGCGCGCCGGGGAGTGGGGCCCCCGGAGCGCCAACAGTTATATATATATATATATATATATATATATATATATTATATATATATATATATATATATATATATATATATATATTCTCTCGGGCCGGACGAAATGGGGGGATTGAGAAAGGCGGGGGGGGAAACGAAATCTGCTGCATGCAGCTAGTCTCGGCCCGACCGAGGGGCCCGTTCCTCGATACATGGGCGCCTCCTGGCGCCGGGAGGCGCCGGGAAAATCAGCTACGTGAGCTGAGTCTTAACCCCCCCCTTTGCTATCGCCCCCTTTCGCCCGACCCGATGTTCGCATTCTACGTTCAACAGAAAGAGCACACACGTAATTACACCACTCCCTGCAATTCTTGCGCCATCGAGCATGCCATGTGGTGAGGAAAGGACCCATGTCGGGATAGCGCGTGGGCGAGGGATGCAGCAATGACCAATGCAGCATCATGACGCACATTTCTGGTCTGGCATCAAGCCAGGGCTCCGGCCGCCTGTGTCAGATGTGGCCCAGGGCCGATTGCGGTCAGGAGCTTTTGCGTACAGTGGGGGCCCATGCCAAGACACACCCTGCTTGCCTCCAGGGTGCCCTGGGTTTCTTGGGTTTCGATGCCTTTGCCATGGGAAGCGGGACGTCCTCACACCAAAAATCAATCTAGGTTATTAACAATAAGTTATAAATTTATGAACTTAGACTTACGATCCAGACGGGTATAAGTTAGAATTTAGACATGCCAATGGGACCAGCGGAATTGTCTATCAAATTTGAGGCCGGGCTCTGTTTTCCAACTTGTGCAGGTTTTTTAAAGAGAAATGATGACTTGTGCAGGGTTTTTTGCTTGGGAACCGATGGGTTGTGCAGCTTTTTCCGTTCTGTGGGATCGGGCTCGGTTTTCGAACTTGTGCAGGTTTTCTTAAAGAGAAATGATGACTTGTGCAGGTTTTTTGCTTGGGAACCGAAGGGTTGTGAAGCTTTTTCCGTTTTGTGGGGTCGGGCTCGGTTTTCGAACTTGTGTAGGTTTTTTAAAGAGAAATGATGACTTGTGCAGGTTTTTTGTTTGGGAACCGATGGGTTGTGCAGCTTTTCCCGTTTTGTGGGGCGTG